CTTTGGTATTGACCTGATCTTCATCCTCTGATGTGTACTGCAAAACAGCTCAAGTTTTCTCAGTAGGTTGAAGATCAAGGTACGTTCAAAGTGCATGTTTCAAAGCCAGAAAACTTTCAAGAAAAGGAATACTTTTGGTCCCTTAGAGCTCAGGTCTTGAACCCAAAATAGTATAATGTACGTTCAATCTATGCTTTTGACTTTTTATGCCATCGCAGTTTTCCAACTTTTTCTATGCTATCACAGTCTTATGGAGATGGTAACATCATTTACAGGAAAACCTGTTAGTTAATTGATGTTGATCCCACATTTATATACCAGAAATGGATTATTCCAAATACATGCAAGCTAAGGAACATGAGAGCTGCAGAGTACAGTGTCATGAGCACCTGCATGAGTAGCTTGAAAATCTGGCAATAAAATCAGCTTGTGAATCTGTACAAATACCTTATAGTAATTCTTTTTCCAGTCAAAAATTGTAAATACGAAGCTCTAACTCCAGGAATCACATAGGTAAATTTCATCCAGAAGGGATGTTTTTCTATCCATTACTACTAACCAGTCAACTCATTACACAGAGGCTAGAAAAAAGTGATGCACCCAGTCTAAAGTGAACTCCATCTATGCGAAAATTCATCTTCCTGTCAACTACGAGATGCTTATATCACAAGTAAGGAACCATGAACAGAAAACCAGAGTATGCTGAAGAATCAATTGCAGGAAAGTACAAGATTCGACATCATAAGTTCTACTCAATCAGGTACTTACATCATAGTCGGGTCTTGTGCCAGTATCCAGTGCATCTGGATCCTTCAAATCCTGAAGAGCAAATTTCCACCTGATCCTTTTAGATCCACGGTGATGCTCTTCTGATTCATTTACATTATGTTTCATATCTCCAGCAACTCTATTGCATAAGGCACCAATTATGCATCTGATGCAAAAGGCTATCAGGGGCACCAGAACTAGAAAATAACCAGTGGTTTTAGCCTGATAATAAAATCGACAAGTCTGTTGAGCTCGTTACTAAATTTTGGTACAATGTGCACATTGATCAGCTAAATATGACCAATCAACAAAGTAATCGAAAAGGAAGTATAGTTCCAATAAGCAATGCTCAGATAAGAGAAATGACACACAGTTTGGCAAAGTAACATGGCACGCTAGAAGAAGTGCTCACATAGGATAAATTATGAACGGACAAGAAACTGAACATTTTCTGGTTCAAGCAGCTACGATACAATTCCAGTCTTGGAGCTCTTCCATCAAGAGAAGAGTCAGATGATAGGGCTCGCTCACTCTTTTGCTGCCAACAAAAAGAACATACTTGTCGTGAAGGAAGTCAGCTTTAAAACGTCAGTAAACACCAGGAATGCAAGTATTATATGGCAGTTAGACTAAGTAACATCAGCAGAACTTTTTTTTTTTTTTTTTTGAAGTACTCACTTCTGTTTTTTGCTTTGTTGTTCCAATTTGCTCAACAATTATATGTACGAGAATAAGACGTGATCTAACATTTGAATTCTAGAAATAATATCAGACTTGCCTTCTGACCAACTTAGCCTAGCATTAAAGCCTTTGGTGATCCACACAAAAAGCTATAAATCCAATTGAAATGTTATTTAACTACTGTCCAGAACTTTTTTTCTACTTCATAAAACTAAATCCCTTTTGGGTAGCAATATTCAATGAAATAATTTAATACCAGTGATCACTTCATGATAGAAAAATAAAGGAATTCTAAGCTCAAGGTCAGGACCCAGGTTGGTAGTTGCAATAATCAGACTCATTAAAACCAACCATGAAGAGACAACACGTAATCGAAAGAATAGTGGACTTAAAACCATTTACCATTTGCAAAGTTACTGCAGTGGATAAGGGAATGTTCAGATGTTGGCCCTCAAAAACAAGGTCAACATCAACGATGTCCTTATTAGCAGCAGCAATTTCATAAATGGCTACCCCATATAGCTTTGAAATGGAAGTCAAAGTTTCACCTCTGCAAATTTAAACCAACAAAATTCCCAAGGTACTTCAGCACGCAATATCAATAAAAAAGATCCCATCTTTATTCCAAAAAGCTCAAAAGTTCGCAAATTAAAAACACACACACACACAGACACACAAACGCATGCAGGTTTAAGCATTTTCTTACTCTTTGACCACATGTTTAAGCATTGAGTGCCGACCCTTTGAAGACATCCCCCGTATTTGACACCTCCATCTCTGAAAATGACAAAAACCCAGAAATTGTTTTACCCCTGTATCTGACATTTTTTTCATGAAATTACAGTCACAACAAACAGAAAAGGACACGAAGAAGAAGAAAGGAATATTACCTGAGCATGCAAATGAAAGTTCTTGTGATTAGAAACTTTTCTGCTAACTTTTACTAACACAGAAGATCTTATTACTACTAAGGTTCTTGGAAGAGATGATTGGCTCAACTTAAATTCCATTGACCATTAATCATAATTTTTCTGGTTGATGATTAATATACCATGCACCATGGAGTATGGACAATTTCACGCTCCTGGATAAGAAAAAGGCACGATTCTGAGTTTGCCATAGCTCATAGGTGGCATTTATTCTTGTGGGTCCAACATGGCCTTAAACCGTACAAACCAGTGTACTTGGCCCACCAAAAGGAGGGCTGCACAAAAAGATACCAGCAACTCTTTTTTTTTAAATTTAATTAAGGTTAAAATTGAATATATTGTTAAACGGGTTAATTCGTCGGAACTACCGAAAAACAAAAAAGGGATAATCGAATTGGATTCTCAATTGGTTCGGTGAAAGGACTCTCATAAATATGTATACCTGTAAAATAATGTGAAATGAACAGTGTATCATGATCTTGAATATTAACATTAATTTTTGGTGATTTAAGTGGAACTATAATTTATTCACATAGTCCTTTTAACGTATAAGACCTTAAAAAGAGGTCCCAAAATATCGTTTCTCATTCAAATTTTAGTTAGCTTAATGCTTCTTTATATTTGCTTTTTTTTTATATAGGAAAGAAGTTTGAATAGGTTCGACTTTGATCATCATTACAGGTCAGGACATGCCTTCGATACTATAGGTCGCTTACAGAAATTCTTACAAATTACCTACTAATACAATTCTTACATCGACAGCGATATTTGAATACATGACCTTTATATTTACTTATAGCTTCCAAAGATTAACACAAAATGTTGCAAATGGACATTTGTCTCGTAGAACCGATCCAACAGTGACTAATTGTGAATGCCTAAGACAAACACGATCTTGCAAAATCAACCTGTTACACGAAGCTTACTGTTGTTATTCATGTTATGATGTATATTATAACAAGGTTATCCAACACAATGCATTTAAAAAAAAAAAAAAGGAAAACAAGAAACCTTGTTACAATAGTTTAAGATTGTTTACTTTGGTGGAGGAGGAGGCTTTTGCACAAAACATGCAACATTGGCATCGGCTTTCAGGAGGTTTAGCCTGATCACATGAACATATTCTAGGGGATCTGGATGGAAACTGATCTCGGATTCCCATCATCTCCATATTTAACGTAGTGTTGATATTTGAAGGGTAAGCTAACGAGGCAACGAACTGGAATACGGGAAAAAGAAAAAAAAATTCCAAGCCATTGAAAGAAACATATATAGATCCTTGGCAAGAGCTGACCAATGTCATCAACAGCTGAAGAAGGGGTAAAGAGACTTGGCAAGAGTGCCATTGAACGAAGGGGAAAGCACAAAAGAGCCCTTCATTTTTGTTGTTTTGGGTCTTTTGTATTTGGGTATTCCTTAGGCTCTGATTTGCTCCATCGCGCTTTTAATTGGGTGCTTTCTACGAATGTTAAAACTAAGGAGAAATACCAAGTTAGCAATATATAGCTTTTGGGGGATAGAAAATCAAAGCCTACTGATTAATTATGGTAAAGCCTTTGCTAGGACTTCAAAATTGTACTCGAGTTGATCTATGTAGGAGTAAATGCCACCGTATAAGTATATTTGATTTGATGATTTTGGATAAAAAAAAAATAGTGAACAGAATATTTTGCCTCAGAAAGCTTTCTCGAAAATTATATGTTGGAACCTTATGCAGTTGATGCCTGTCGGAATCTTGAAAATTCTATGGCGGCTTCGAACATAGGATATATATTAACATATGGGGCTCATATATCCAAGAACTTTCAACCCATAATCCAAGTCACGACTTTAGTTACAATGCTATGCTTTATCACATCTAAATTGGTGGCATTAGCCGCTGGTTAATAACCTTTCAGGCAACAGTACAGATAAAAGAGTCAAGAACTAGTGGTGGTCTATCATCAACAAGGCCTGGAAGTCTTTATTTCTGATACTCAAAAATCTTCTTTACAGCAGACTAGACTGGATTTGGAAATTGATATGCCAATATCTTGAAAAGTGTTAAGTCTACAGTAACTGTTGCAGGAAAAGAAGGATCTACTCGCTGCAGTAAGTATTGCAGGAATAGAAGAAGCCCATTCGTTATAGGAGGATCAAGGAGGATTTGAAACGCAATGAATGTACCTACAAGCCCATTCGCTATAGGTCCCAGGCAAAATGATACATGCAAACAAAGAGGCACCAGCAAGTGCCAATTAATGAATTAAACATCTGCAGCAACCAACAACAGCACGAGTTGGAACCATGTCTCGTACAGATACTGCTACCAATCAATTAAAGTGACCAAGGAAAAATGAATATGAAACCTATTTCAGTGAGATGTCATAACAAGCATATAAAAGATATTTAAGCAAATGAATAGGATAACATGAAGGCAAAATTGATTTTAATCAGGATATCGTCCTTTACCAACTGATATTACAACACATACGAACTAATATATATGGCGATACTAGATTGCCGCGCCACTGGTTACTCAATTACCAACCGATCTCAAGACAGTGGGAAGCGGGCGACCCCAAAGAAATAATTACACGTCATGATACTCAATCATACACGAAAACAAAAAGTCGCAGGACAGACCCTGATATCTAAACCCATAGTTGCAATAGCAAAAATTGACATGGGAATGGCAAATATATTCAGCAGGAGGACAGAGGTTACAAGCCAAAAGATGACCTGTTCTGAAAAACTCTGGAAAGTGCAGCAGCAGAAACTAGCATCACCAATTACCATATTGACCTATATAACGATGGTTCATGAAACATCACTCAGCAAACTAGTGATAAACACTCCGAGAATGCTTTCCAATCAAAGGTGACCTCTGATGATTTTCTCTTGCTTTTGCAAAAGACATTAAAAACTTGTATTACAATTCCTCCTTAGTTAAAGCTGCCAAACAACATTTAAAAAGATTTAACACTCACGGTGTATAAGAGGAACTAAAATACCTATTCAACTACAACAGTAGACGATGCAGATTGCATATTTTGATGGCTTCCTGCTTTCTTCTCACTGTCAAAGTAGTCCTGAAGTGCTGACATCTCAATCTTGTTGCATTTCAAGCTTTTAATAGCTTCAGCAGTAGCCAAAGCCCCAGCAACAGTCGTAATTGTAGGAATCTTGTAAGCAAGGGCCATTCTCCTCAACTTCCGGCCGTCTATCTGGTCAAGATCATCACTAGAACTTGTGATGACAATCAACTGTATTTGCCCGTTGGCAATCATATCACCAGCATGTGGTCGTCCTTCGTGCATCTTAAGGACCCGCTCCACTGGGATCCCTTCTAACTCAAGAACATGTGCTGTTCCAGAAGTTGCAACAATATTGAACCCAAGAGCCAAAAAGGCCTGGGCAATTGTGGGAATTTGTGGCTTTGTTAAGTCATTTAAACTCAGGAACAAAGTGCCAGAAAGTGGAAGCTTTTGCCCAGCAGCTATTTGTGCCTTTGCAAAAGCAATTGAAGACTCGAAATAGATGCCCATTACCTCTCCAGTACTACGCATTTCAGGACCCAGAAGCACATCACACCCTTGAAATTTCTCAAATGGAAGGACCACTTCTTTAACAGATACATGTCTCGGTATAACCTCTCTTGTGAATTGCAATTCATGAAGGGACTTCCCAGACATGACAAGAGAAGCATATTTAGCTAGGGGATGCCCAATTGCCTTAGACACAAAAGGAACGGTTCGGGATCCACGTGGATTTGCCTCAAGCAAGAAAACTTCCCCACTAGCTGTTATGGCATATTGGCAATTCATGAGCCCACAAACATTTAACCTCCTCGCCAACTTTGCAGTCCATGACCTGATTGTGTCCAAACATGATGGAGAAACAGTTTTTGTGGGAATCATGCAAGCTGAATCACCTGAATGGACACCAGCTTGCTCAATGTGCTCCATTATTCCACCAATTACAACATTGCCGTGTGAGTCAGCAAGTGCGTCAACATCAATTTCTATAGCATCAGATAAATATTTGTCAATTAAAACAGGACGTTCTGGATCCACCTCCACAGCTGTTTCAAGGTATCTCACCAGCTTGTCATCACTGTAAACAATCTCCATCGCTCGGCCACCCAATACATAGGACGGTCTGACAACCACTGGGTACCCTATATCTGCTGCAATAGCAAGAGCATCTTGTTCACTCTTGGCAATGCCCCCTTTTGGCTGCTCAATCTGCAATTCCTCACTGATAGCATTGAATCTCTCCCTGTCCTCAGCAGCATCAATGGAATCAGGTGACGTACCCCAAATACCAACATATCCAGCACCACTTTTGCATTTTGGCTTCTGCTCGTCTAAGTATTGCTGAATTGGAAGAGCCAGCTTCAACGGTGTTTGACCTCCAAACTGCACAATTATCCCATCAGGCCCCTCCAAATCTATTATGTTGAGAACATCTTCAACTGTCAGTGGTTCAAAATAGAGACGATCACTTGTATCATAATCTGTAGATACTGTTTCAGGATTCGAATTCATCATGATTGTCTCATAGCCTGCATCCTGAAATTGACCAACAAAATACTATTAATATGTGTAAACATAAGAACAACAAGGTAACTTGAAGATTAGTACTTGCAGGTACAGTTAATACTAAAAAAAAAAATTAACAAAAACCAATAAAAATTCTTCTCAGAATTCTAAGATTATGATTATGTTCTGCTCTGCAATCTTTTCACTCAGTCTTTTCGTTGGTATGCACAAGCTCTATCCTTTCTTCTCCATTAATGAATTAGTACTTAAGGTGATTAAGATGAAGCAGGAAAAATATGAGCTTCTTTTTTGCCCATTTACAGCTCTGATGCAAGTACAATAACCTACTTACAGTTGGACAGCACTACCGTACTTTTAGACGACTAAGTAACCACTGTGAGACTTGAAACCAGGTTTCTTCCTCCAAAGGCTTCAAGCTTTAGTTGGTTTTACTACTAGACCAAGGCCTCATTGGCTGACGAAGTTCAAGCTTCAGAATGTTTCAATTGCAGGACTAAAATGTCAGATCCACAACAATTATCTTATTTATAGATCTGTCTATGTTCTGATGTTGGATAAAAGCATTACACTAATATCAAAAGATTCAAACTACAAAAAGCATCTGAAAATTAAGAAAGGTCTAAGTGATAGACACAAACATGGGAATCCCCAAAATCGAGGATGTGGGCCATCATTCAGTTTGTGTTTGTCATATAAGACGTATATCGCTTAGACTAGGATTTTCCATATTAAAATTTGAAAATTGGCAAAAACACAGCACAAGAATTACTAATAAATTGCTAGTATCAATGTCACGTAATTAATGACCCAAGCAACATATATACTGTCTTTTACATGCATGGTATTTATATAAAGCACAGTCACCAGAGCAGGAAGACCATGAAGTCCAGGTATCACAGCCGTAGGAGTTCAGAACAAAATAATTGAGAAGCAAAAGAGGCAAAAATGGCCCTTAAGCTACAGAAGAAAGAGCATACCTGGAGGGCAAATGATGTATGGCAGCAGCAGTAATCAAATTCAATCCCTTGACCAATCCGATTTGGTCCACCACCTAAAATCAGAACCTTTTTTCTTTGGGTGGGAGCTGATTCACACTCAAAGTCATACGATGAGTACATGTAAGGAGTATTAGCCTCAAATTCGGCAGCACATGTATCAACTCGCTTATATGCTGGTTTAACACCCAATGATAACCGCTTTAACCGAACTTCTTTCTCTGTGGTTTTTGTAGCAAAAGCTATCTGTTTATCACTGAAACCTCTCTTTTTCACTTCATAGAGGTCATCCTTTGTTAAATCAGACAACTTCTGAGACAAAAGATATTGTTCCACATCTACAAGCTCCTTCAGCTGAGTCAAGAACCACTTGTCAATGTAACTCAGCTCATGGATGTCATTCACCTTCATTCCCCTCTTCATTGCTGCATAAATAGTGTGGATGCGGTCTGGACTAGGGACTCTGAGGCTGTACCTCAGGCGATCCCAATCCCAATCCAATTCCTTGATTTGTGAGCAACCCCACCCAGGGTAGCCACACTCAAGTGAACGAACAGCCTTCTGAAAGGATTCTTGGAATGTCCGACCAACAGCCATTGATTCACCAACAGACTTCATTTGGGTTGTTAGAATAGGCTCCGAGCCTGGGAACTTCTCAAATGCAAAACGGGGTATCTGCATGTTCAACACCATTTTCCAGGAAAAAGAAAAATGTCACATCCATAACAAGACATGAAAAAATGCCAAGACAGTAATTTGATTATAGCTAGAACAAAAAGAATGCCGACCTGAAGATAGTGAAAATAGTAAAGGCAACATACAGAATGCTATCTTGATTCAGAGAAAATGCCAAGGATTAAGTCCCAGGTTGACACTTATAAAATTTGTAGTACAGGAGGTATTAATATGCTACTAGACATTCTGACCATATAAGAGTAAACTTTTAATAAATTGTCATACTCAAAGTAAATGCTGGCTGCAATATTCTTCTGATAACCCCCACTCCCCCCCCCCCCCCGGGGGGCCCTTATCCATCTCCTTTTTCTAAGCCATACTATTTCTTTTCCTTCTATTGGTAGGGTTGAGGAAGTGGAGGAAGACATAACACTCTAAAGTGGAGGAAAAGATGGCTTGTTTCCTTAAGGTATCTACTGTAGCAACACAGAACACTTTAAAGGGAGGATAATGGTAGATCAAATATTTCAAAAAACGCTCACAAAGCCCTTGAATTTCATAGCCTGCATAAAGCAATTTAGAGAGGCTTTCAGATGCACCCTAAAGATCACAACGAAAGGTGACTATTAGCTTTGCTAAAATTAACAGATGTAGATAGCCATATATAGAAATATATGAAGAATAGACTAATATCAGTGGAAACTTAACTTGCAAATCCACATCGCTTAAAGCTGATTTGGGCAACATAAACTTTCATGCAAAACATCTGTCGCAGCTATCTCCCAATTAGGACTGGTGAAAATTGTGACATAACATACTTCTCTGCCTGATAACCAAAGAAGTAAAGCAGAGCTACATATCCCACCTCATTTAGAATCCCTAATTTTCTTACTTTGCAGGGGATTAAAGACAGATAAAATGGTTCATGGACAGTGGTTTTGTTTTCTCTGTTTTTGTTGGAAGATGATAACTATGTAATATTTCGCAAAGTTCAAATATTTGTAGTGCCAAGGAAAAAATTATAGGATGAGGTTGAAAGATGCTAGTTTGCAAACACTTGGTTTTGACTAAGGAATTTTGCTCCAAGACACAACACGCAACATTGTATATGTAGATAAAGCAATTTCGATCCAGTGAAAAGAAACAAGAAAAGATCTCACATCCATTTAGTTAATGAAGTTCACGCATTTTTCTTAAAGGAGCAGCCAATATTAAAATATCCAAGCCTATAAGAAGGGATACCAAAAAAACAAAGAGCACCTAATGGTAGACTAAAATATGATTTGCTAGTATTTAAATAATAAGAGAAGACAATGACAGGATTTTAATATATCAAAGCATGGCCAAAGTGATATTTATCTCACAACGAGCAACACTTGGAATATTCCAATAAATTGGTAGCAACAGGTCATTGTCTTTAGCGTAACACAACTTAAGTTACCACTCTCAAGTACCTTTTTTAATCTATTTGGATCATCTAGAAGATCAAAACTGTCTAATGTGATGAACTTGAAAGGATTAAGGATGACTGCCTTCTCAATCACCAACAGTTAATATCGAGGTTACTGTACTAACTAAGAAATTTATGAAATGAGACCATATATTCCCGTCTAGAAAACAATGCTCATCAATAAGTCCACAAAAAGCCTGTAAAAACAAAAGGCATGGCAATAGGAAGAATAGGAATATCAACTATTAGTTCATGGTCACTTGATCTCACGACATTGCAAATAAATTTGAGGAAGAAACAAAAATATTCAAAGAAAAATATAACCAAACTGCTTATGACCGATGGAATTTCATAATAATATGAATCCTTAGTAAGTTACCGAAAGTTCCGAATCAAATTTTAAAGAATCTTGCATGTGTAACAGCAGAGTCAAAATTTTGGATAATGGAATGAAAACTTACCTTGGTAACCACATAATCTATAGAAGGTTCAAAACTAGCGGGTGTTTTCTTAGTGATGTCATTAGGAATCTGATCCAAGGAGTAACCAACCGAAAGTTTAGCAGCCATCTTTGCTATGGGAAAACCAGTAGCTTTGGAAGCTAAAGCTGAAGACCTTGAAACTCTAGGATTCATCTCAATCACCATTACCTCTCCATCTTCAGGATTGACGGCAAACTGAACATTTGAACCACCACATTCAACCCCAATTTCCCTGATAATAGCAATAGAGTAATCCCTAAGCCGCTGGTACTCTTTGTCTGTCAAAGTCTGTGCTGGAGCTACAGTGATAGAGTCCCCAGTATGGACTCCCATTGGGTCAATATTCTCAATTGAACAGATAATAACGACATTATCTGCCAAGTCTCTCATAACTTCAAGCTCATATTCTTTCCATCCCAAAAGGGACTTCTCCACCAAAACCTGAGAAGTCAAGCTAGCTGCAAGCCCCGACTTGCATATTGCCTCAAACTCCTCCCTGTTATAAGCAATACCACCTCCAGTTCCTCCCAGTGTAAAAGCTGGTCGAATAATCAATGGAAACTCCCCAATAGAATTTGCTATCTCAAAACACTCCTCCATAGTAGTCCCAATCCCCGAAGGAGGAGTCTTTAGCCCAATATTTTTCATAGCTTGCTTGAATAAATCCCGATCCTCGGCCTTCTTGATTGCTTCGAGCTTAGCCCCAATCAACTCAATGCCATATTTGTCCAGCGCCCCACTTTCAGCCAATGCCACAGCAAGGTTAAGAGCCGTCTGCCCTCCCATCGTTGGCAATAAAGCATCAGGCCTCTCCTTCTCCAGCACTTGCTCAACCAGCTCTGGTGTCATAGGTTCAATATAAGTCCTATCAGCCATCTCTGGATCCGTCATTATAGTGGCAGGATTCGAATTGATGAGGATCACCTCATAACCCTCCTCCCTTAGTGCTTTACAAGCCTGAGTCCCTGAATAATCGAACTCACAAGCTTGCCCAATCACAATAGGCCCTGCACCTAAAATTAAAATCTTTTTGATATCTGCCCTCTTCCCAACTTTTTGGCTACCGAAAACCCCTCCATTCATCGAACCATTGCTATCACAAACAGCACCTTTCTCACATCGAATTGAATTCACCTTCACTCTCCAGTTCAATTTCGCAGAATGCAGAAACAATGGACGGCATTGAAAGTTCAAATGTGATACCACACTCCACTTGGTAGCTGGCTTGGTGGCATTGAAAAATAACTTAAAAAGATTGGAATTTGATAAATGATTTTTGGTGGAGTTGAAACTGTAGGGCTGTGATGATGAAATGAGCCTCAACGAAACGTTTTCACAATGATTGACACAATAGGCCATCTCCCACTATCCCTCCTCCAATCCCTCTTATTTATTCTTTTCCAAATTTCAAATAAACTGCACAACCAGAAACCACATGGCAACAATAATTAATATATATATACATATATTTATGTATCACTCGCAAATAAAATTACAAGAAACCTTACATGCAATATTTCTTGGTGATGATTTTCGCTTTGACCGATCGGCAGCTTATAATATTTGCGATATTCTGCAATATCTTTTGGTTTACTACCTATGTGAATGGTTTCGGAATCTAAGATATAGCTTTGAACAAAGCCTGCTTAGAATTTTTGCACGCTCAAATCCGAACTGGGTGAAGAAGAGCAAAAAACAGAGAGAAAAAGCTTCTTATATCTCGGGAGTGACAGAATCCATGGGTCTCGAGGAGAAGAGAGACCGAGGAGCTGTGATGGGGGGGGGGGGGCGCCTGGGGAAGAGAGAGTTGGGTTTGTGTTTGATTAGGTTTGAGAGACTTTGGGCACTGTTCAAAGAGATGCAACCTAAGTCCTAATCATCGACATGCTTATATATCTATACTATATGTAAAGTCTGAGAAAGTTGTTTGGGCCTTTGGGGTTAGCGTTCGAATTAACATTTATCGTTACTTGTCAACTTTCTTTTTACCCTTATAAAATTTGTTTTTAGTTTAACTACCTACGACTACCTATCATTATTTTTACTATTAACTATTTAACTATATATTTTTAACATAATTACTCATAAATATTATAACTATCAACATAAAATTATTTTATGAAAAATATTTAAAAGATTAAAGTTTGCTTTAGTAATAAAAATTTTATTTAATATATATGACTATAAATATTATGTATTTTTTGATTGCACACAAATTGAATATGCATTGAGCACTAGTGTTAACAATTCCTGATTTTCTTTTTTACTATATATGTTAATAATCCCTAATTTTTTGTTTTTTTTGGGAAGTTGGGGATATCTGGCTTTAGGGATTGCTGGCATTAGAATCTAAGACAAATTACAGGCAGCAGCTAGAGACGAATATCCAAGTGGACTGCTAAAACATGAAGGGATAATTTCAGGATAATTTTAGAAATCTCTCTTAGGTTTCTAACAAAATGACTTAGTACTCTTGAAGTTTAAAAAATAATCTTCTCTATTTTTTAACTTTTATAACATTTACAGTCCAAGTCAAATTATATGATTAAAATATTATGTTTAGGTATTCAGTTTGAGTAACAGTTAAAACCCACTAATTCAAAACTTGGTCCAATTCGATTTTTCGATCAAAGATCAGGTTCAATTGAAAATCGGTAAAAATAGATAAAAATCCAATTTTTTCCCAGTTTGCTTCTTTGATTTGTTTTTTCCCCATTCAGCCTTTTCCTTTGACTGTTCCAAACGAACCTTCACTGATTTTGCTTTGCTAATAGGAAGAAGCATTTCCTCCATTTTTGTGCTGATTTTTTATTTTTTATTATTATTTTTTGCCTTCTGACTTAATTGCATTCGTTACTATATAACCAAACACCAGCCTTGGTGTGAGTTTGTCACAATGTCCTCATCTCACAAAGCCACCATGAGGTCCATGACAGCTAACTCCTTAAGATCAATAAGAAGAAAAAGAAGAGAGAGAGAGAGGAGAGGAGAGGAAGACATTAAACAAGATTTCATAACTTTGTGTGCGTGTATGTGTGAGAGGGTGTGCGTGATTTTGTGAAAAGAAACTTACTGATAGTTTGGAGTTGCAGAGAAATAAGAAAATCACAAGATTTAGGCTTCATTACTCAATGGTTTTATCAAACATGGGAAAATGACCAATTTCATCCCTGAACTTTTTTGTTGGTGTCGATTTAGTCCCTAATTTTTATTTCTGACCAATTTGACACTTGAACTTATTTTGTAGTTCCAATTAAGGTCCTTTACAATGGCACCACTACCTAAAACTAGTCTAAGACCCTATTTGATAACTTAATTTAACACTAAAATTTAATGGATTCAGATCTTAACATATTCAGACCGTTTGATAACAAAAAATTGAACATCTGAATTAATTAAGTGACACTGAATTTCCTAGGCAAAACTTGCTCCCAAAATTGAGTGATAAATTATTTATTTATCACTAAATGTAATATATATTCAAATGTATTAGATTAAAAACTTAACAATTCAATAATTTAATGGATTCAGACTTCAGTTTTCATATTTCAATTTTATTAAATGCATCCTAACTCCTAATTGACTAACTAAACAGGAGTATTATGGAAATGTCACTTGTCATGTGAGCTAATGCGACCACAGCAAAGCAGAAGATTTACAATTGCCTTTGTTTTCATGGATGTATAGTAACAAGTTTGGGAAAAAGAAGATGAAAATAAAAAAGGAATAATGAAAAAGAAAAGAAAAAGAAAGAAGGAAAAAGAAGTATCGAAGAAGGGAAGAACAAAAAAATGAGAAAGAAAGAAAAGGGAAAAAATTGAGGGTAATTTAGACACTTAAAACAATTTTGTTAGTTTGAATAATTTTCATCTAAGTTTCAGATAAGTCCAAAATACAAAGAGGTTATGTGAGAATTTTTAAATAATGAAGAGTATCATGATCGAATCTCAAATCATAAGGGGATTTTCTCTATTTTACCCTAAATCTTTCCACATCGAAATATGAGTACAAAATATTAGTTTGATTATTTGTTTAATCATATTTTTGAAGACAAGAAATCAAAGCCCAAGCTTTCATTATAATGTATGGTCTACGATTGGCTTTTTTTCGTATGGTGCCCAAGTTTCATTAATGTATGGTCTCCATGTATAGGCTTTGTCAAAAAAAAAAAAAAAAGAATAAATACTAGTGAAAGGATAACGTGTTTGTATATACTGTTGCAACTTTTTGTTTAGCTTTATATTCAGAATGATTTTTAAAACAAGTTGTTAATACACCTAAAAATACTTAACCTAACATGTTAATACAAACAGTCATAATTAATGCGCCCTCTACATTTAGACACTTCTCAAATTAACTACATTTTTTTACAAAACTGACAGTAAACTCTACGTATGGACACTTATTAGCCAAACCGTATTTAAAATATTCAATTTGTCTTTGCATTGATAATTCTTGGTGCAAATAACATAGGGTATGGCTAAAAATACTTTTTATATGAGTAAATGGTTTATACACTAACAGCGTATACATGGTTATCATTAGATTCATGACACATGTGTAAATAAAAGTTAGATTTCAAATTTAAATTTTGTACAGTTGTCATTTATTCAAAACTCATATTTTTTGTAGTTGTCATTCAAATACAAATTTTATGTAATTGCCATCCATTCAAAACTGACAATGTATATAGGGTCTGTTTGGTTGGAAGTAAAATGTTTTCCTTGGGAAAATATTTTTCGTGGAAGTAATTTTCCATGAAAATCATTTCCCTTTCATCATTTTCAGGTGTTTGGTTAGCTTATTGAAAATATTTTCTTACTTCATTTTTCTGGTGTTTGTTTAACTTTTGAAATATTTTCACTTTTATCTCTATCTTTACTTTCTACACATTATAACTACATACTTCTTCCCATGCAAAATAAGAAAATTTATCTCATTGTTTAACTTTAAAAAATCTTAGAGAAATGTATATATGAATAAAAAATATCTCCTTAAGTAATAAACAAATTGCTGGCCATTTAGTGTCAAATATCAATCACATGCAATGCTTATTGTGACATATATCTTGCACTCTCACTGCTGAAAGTTTCTCTAGAAAAGAATGTCCCTATTATACATAATTAATTATTAGCATAGGATGAGCAGGATGAGGTTTTTTTTTTATTTTGAATATACTAGGGAGAGGGTTGGGTTGGGTTGGGTGGTACGGGGGAGGGAGTGTAAGGAAGAGATCTTAGGTTCGAATCCTCCTGTTTACACTAAAAAAAAAAAAAGAACATACTACAAGATGTTTTCAATAAGTTTGGAACATACTACAGGCGGGATGCATGCATTTCGGAAAACAACTTCAGTAAGTTTGGAAGGGAAGTTGTTTTCCATAAGATGAGTGAAAATATTTTACATAGGAAAATGTTTTCAGTAACTTTTGTGCAACCAAACACGGGAAATTAGAAAAATATTTTCCTGGAAAACATTTTCACCCGAAACAAACGGACCCATAATGTATAATGTCAGTATAGAAAAGATTAATTCTTTTTATTACAAGCATGCTCTTAATACTACTAATGTACTTTTGAATCACTTTAAGAGGTGCCGAAAACCATTTCTTTTGAATCTTGTGAATTAGTTCTGCCACAGGGTGTGATTTTACCTATCACAACTGTGAAGCAAATTGGATCATAACTGACCAATTTACTCGCTTTGCATTTCGATAAACGTGCTAAATGATGCCAATGTTCTAGGATAAATGTATAAATAATTAAAGTTGACTGGTAAGTAAAATCAAATTTTCCTTTCCTAACTAGTGATTATTCATGAATTATCTACTGTAGTTTGGGTGTCCATAGAGAGTTAAAAGGCCTAATATTTTATTTTGTGAGAGGTAACCAGTTGGTTCAGTAATTCAAGATGAAGAGCCAAAAGTGCAAATAAGTTAGGAAAATTCCACGAACAAGAAAAATGTCAAGGGGTGCAACTTATAAAGGAAAAAGTTTAAAAAAAGTTTGAAATTAGGGTCATAGGGAAAAGAACAATTATACAACAGGTGGAATCCTGGCAATTTTATCAGGCCAGCTCATAACGAGTAAAACCCTTGTAATTGTGCCTAGGAATGGTTAGTTTGCTGCCTCTTAATACAAAAAAGAATTGTTATTGCAGCAAAAGGAGTTTTCTTTCTGCTCTACTGATTATTTGGTGGATGCAAAGGCCGATAAAAATTTGATTACCATCAATATCAATTGCTTTCACATATGCAATAGATGTAAAAAAGATAAAATCTAACAAAATACTTGATTGACTTTTATTAAAGGTTATGTCTTCTAATATGAGATAGGGACCTAGATTATATCAGATTCCCCAAAAAGTCCCAAAATCAAGGTGAAATTGCACTCAGCACATTCTAATCAACAGGGGTAATCGCATGCACAGAAGGAGGCGGGCAGGGCAGGTGGGCTGCTGCACTCTGCCTTTGCATCAGGACCATGCCTCTTTTGGCACTCATTCCAGCAATTTATACCAACTTCGCTTCCAACATAGATGGTTTCGATTAGGGCTATAAACGAATCGAATCGCTTGTGTGAGCCGATCGCGAACTCACAAATATAACTCATAAAACGTCAATCAATTTAGAATCAATTATGTGGGTTGCTGATGCCTTAAAATGAGGCAAGTCTTGCAATTGATTTAATTTTTTTTTTTTAACAGGGAGGGGTGCGATTCAATCTCTCCTCACGGATTTGCTCCCTCTGCGACCTCTCCTCCCCAGTTTCCTCCTCCCTCGGATCTCTCAGATCTAGCCTTTTGAGCCAACTCAAGCAACTCTTTCTCCCTCATAGCTTTTCGTCTTTCATCTTCTTCTCGTTTTGAATCTTTGCCTTCATTATAAGTTCCTCTCTGCACTTATCTTCTGCAACACAGAAAGCCTCATGTAACTGGTTATGAACAGGATTGATGTGAAGATCCTCCAGCCGTGTACCCTCAGCTGCAGACGCTTATCGAGAGCAATTACATGACCGTATTTAGAATTTTTGCAGTTTGAAATACAAGATGGGGCTTTCCAATCTTGACAGTCAATAGACGAGGGGGAGACCTCAAAACTGGGACAGGTCGAAAACTGGATAGTTTCGGAATCCACACAGTTACATTGGCTTAATTATTCCTCTCAATATCATTATGGCTTTCAAATGATACATAGGGTAGAGATTGAAAAATGGCAAAATCCCACAAAAGCTTATTCAACAAAACATTTTCTGGTAAACTCTGCCAGAAAAAGCAGCTGCAATTACTTAACAATCGTTTTGTTTGCGGGATTGGTACAAACAATATGACACAGGCATTGGCTACTCGCTGGTCTGGCATCACTGCATGAACATTTTTGAGGCATTGCACTTGCTGGAAACCGTCTTATTGCTTCATCAAAACATCTGGGATTCCCTTCATATCCACATACAGCTTTAACTGGGAAACCGAAAGTTGTTGGGCAAAGCTTGGGTTGTTGGCCTGAAATGGAAGAATAAAACACAAATCCAAGATAGTTAAAATATTAGTTCATATACAAGAAATATTTGAGGATATATATGTTATTAATCTTCTTGTTGACACACCTCACTAACTGTTTGGTCTTCGAAAGAAATAAAAAAAAAAAAAATTGGTGAGGAATTCCACTGATTAATAAAGAAATGAGCATTATAACAACTTCGATCCCTCAGTGTAATATTTGAAAAAAAAAAAAAAGGTAATGAATGTAAGCCGATGAGAAATGGAAGATAACAAGGGTGGCTGATAAATAAAACACCACTTAGGTTTCTAGTTCTCACCTAGAGAAGGGGCCACAAAGAGACTCAAGAGAAGAGACACAAAAAGAAGGGGAAACACAATTGAGTTCTTCATGCTTCTTGTTTGGACTTTGCACTGAATTAGCTTTTCAATTGATCTGAACTAGTCAATGCTCACTAGTAGTTGTGTCACCTTTTTATAGTGCTAATTAAGTGCTAACACGGTGCATGAGAGATAGTTGAACTAGAGGTATGCGATTAGAGATTATTTATAAGCAATAATGCTCCTCAACATATTAGGAGTTAATTACTTACCATACCTATGAAATAAAAAAGATTTTTTCCCCCATTAGGGCCTTTTGGAATGCCTAATTTACGCTTATTTACTATTTAAACATTTTGTTGTGCTCCATTGCACTTAGATAACCTTTTTGGATTTAATTTCACATGGCAAGTGATATTGTGAGAGCAATTATCATCATTTTACTCAAATGCCAAGATTATTCTCAATCAATCAATCAATCCTATAAATGTTCACTCAAATGCCAAGATTATTCTCAATCAATCAATCAATCCTATACATGGTCAGTGATTTTTCTAGGGTCTATTATGCATTATTTACTTCTCTTTTCTCACTCTAAGTAAGTAATTTTTGTTAGGCTATTATTTTCACCTCTCTGTGTCTCTCTCTCGCACATACACATTAATTTATCTATTATTTTTATAATTAAATAGAGTAGTGTTCGTCTTAATCTTTTCTTGTATTTCTATGTACTCTTGCCTTTTTTTTTTATACAATTCTAATGCATTTATTTATTTGCAAATAGAACTTGATTTAACTCTAACAAATTTTAGTTTAAAATGATTACTATTATGATGTCATTGTATCTCAATACTTTAGCATGTATTTTTCTTTGAATTCTGCTTGTTTGTCATGCCTTTGAATAGCTAATACTATTAAACCCTTTATCATCATCTTCTTTTATACTAGTCATGTAAGTCTTGACTTTTATCAAATATTCATATTTATCATTTCAACATTGATCTCCATCAAGTATTCATATTTTCTAATAATTAGATGAAAATAAGTTTAAATTACATTACATTGTATATCTCGTGAATATTGAAGGAAATGTAAGGCTATTTTTTTGGGATTATTTTCATCCCAAACTATTATTTATTTTGTGTTAAATTATATTTTGTTCGAAAAAAAGATGCTTCTGAGTAAAATTACAAAAAAAAAATACAAGAACAATTAGAATTAGTATATGAGAAATTATTAAAGCCAAAATCAATTTAGTATATCATGAAAATACTTGATAAATTAATGTGTGCATGCATGTGTGTGTGTGTGTGAGAGAGAGAGAGAGAGAGATGGTGGGAAAAAACTTCAAGAGAAGAAGAGAAGTAACTAGTACATAATGGATCTAGGAAAATCAAGAAGAATATATGGAGATGACAGATTCAGGATAATCTTGACATTTGAGGAAAATAACCTTGACATATGAGAAAAATTCACTTTGATAGGAATATTATTGCCCTCAAAGTTCTATTTGCCTTTATGATTAAAATATTAATTTTCCTTTCATGTAGATAAAGAAATATTAATGTTAGCGTAAATAACTCCGTTAACTTGAATATGTTTCTTACAAAACCAGAAAAAATATATGCATTACATTAGCTCTATTTGCTAAAAAAAATAAATTAAATTTCGGGTAGCGTTCTCAATTCCTTTGGTTTATTCAAGTTTCGTGCCAAATAATCGTCGGTTGAGGAGAACGGAAAGCTTAACCATTCTAACAAATGCAGGATAGATCCATCGAATCGAATGCTGGAATATGATAAAAACGGAAAAAATTATATCCTAATTGTTGAACACTGGTTGTTGAAACTTGATTGGACTATATATGCTCCAGGGACTTCTAAAACGGCCCTAATCCAATCCTCTCCAGAAAGCCTTTTCATGTTTTAGAGCCATATATCACAGATAGTCAGCTTGCACCCCAAAAAAAAAAATCTCACCATATTCAAACTAAAAGTGTTTCAAGCATATGAGATTACACATCCACAGATTTAGGTTTCTTTTGTACTGTTGAGGTTATGATGAATCCACAATCATGCTGGTTTAATTATTCCTCTCAAAATATTATTATGGCACCCAAACGGTACACAGGGTAGAGATAGAAAAATTACAAAAATCCCACAAAATCTTATTCAGCAAAGAATTTTCTCGTAGAATCTGCCAGAAAAAGCAATTACATAAGTTAAAAAACGCTTAGTTTGTGGGATTGGTACAAATAATGGAACACTGGCACTGGCTACTTGCAGGTCTAGCATCACTGCATGAACATTTTTGAGGCACCTGACTTGCTGCAAACCGTTTTAGTGCTTCATCAATACACCTGAAATCCCCATCACTTCCACATGCACCTTTAACTGGTAAAGGGAAAGTAACAGGGCAGAGCTTGGGTTGTTGGCCTGAAATGGAAGAAGAAAACACAAAATCAAGATAATTGAAATTAACGTAGTACTTACAAGAACTTTCATAGTGTAACATTTGACCGGGAAAAAAAAGTAATGAATGTCATAATATGGGCAATGAGAATGAAAGATAGGGTGGCTGATAAATAGAACATCATTTTTTTTTTTTATCAAGTTCTCACCTAGAGAAGGGGTAAGGAGACTCAACAAAAGAGTCACAGAGAGAAGGGGAAGCACAATTGAGTGAATCTTCATGCTTCTTCTGGTTTGGATCTTGTACTGAATTAGTTTTTCACTCCATTTGAATCTCTCGATGCTCCCTTGAAGCTTTGGCACCTTTTTATAGCATGAGCACTGGAGTATGGAGACAATTGGACCACAGTAAAGCAATCATTACAGAATATTTAGGAGCAATACTGCTCCTTAGAATATAAATTAGAAGTAAATTACTTAGCCCAGTGCCTATGAACTAAAAAGATTTTTTCTCCAATAGCGCATATGAAAGTACTATTTGAGTGAAAATCCTCATACTTATCGTCCCTCCATTATATTTAGATGCTTCTTGGATTTAACTTGACATTTCCAAGAGTTACACTTGATGCCACTTTTAATATGGGCGCCCGTCAGGCAAACGGGAACATCTAGATTAGTTTTGAGCTAGAAATTATATTTAAAATTCACTATCTACCAAACCTTCTACGTTATAGTTGACAGGTGTCGGTCTGTGTAATAATAAATTTCTACTTACAAAAATATATGATCGAGTATAATGACAAGTAGGGTCGTTTCCATAGGAATTAGGGAAAAATTTGTTTCTTTCCGAATAAAAAAAACTAATTGGGGGGGGAGGGGGTTTTGGAAAAATAAAGCTAAAATAATCAATGCAAATAAAAATAATTAAATTGAAGAAAATTAAATTTAAATCAATAATAAACAAGCTGTAGCCAATGAAATAATTTCGAAAATGGTTCATGCAACTGCTCATCAATGCAATAATTATTTCATCTACTCGTTAATAAACAAGTTATAGTTGTTAAACACGCGATGACAACCAGATTTTCCTTACCGTCACGATAGTTAAGGTACGTCCGTTAACTACTTCTCTAACCAAGATACAATCCTAGGTACGTCTGTAAAATTTAATTTCTTAATTGCATTAGAAACTAGAAAAAGTTATGTTCTAATCAACAAACACACTACCAGGGTTTATTTAAATTAGAAGATATATTTTTTAAACATAAAATCAATCATGCTAGTCGCCACTAACACCAACCAATCAAACAATTACGCATTTGATTGATTAATATGACAGTAGATTATTAGTTTAATTCAAATATCGGACCCGTGATATTTAAATAACAAAATAATCATAAGAAGTTAAATCATAAAACGTACAAATATTAACAAATAAAAATAATTAAATCTCATAATTGTAGTTGAACCAAATCCTTCATTATCCCTTGATTGGAAAAGAATTTAGTTGCACATCATGACAAAAAGTTGCGTAAACATCTGACAAAGCTCTTCGCTCGGTTTTGCTTCGCGCTAAAAGCGGAAAATCACTAGTTTCTCTGGACCGAAACAAAAGTCTTTACAGTCACGACAACCAAGAATCCCTGCTACTCACGTTTTTCCTTTTCCTAATCTATTACTACTACTACTAATTCAAATTTCCCACGGAAGAAATATTTCCCTAATTGAACAAAAGGTAAGCTCTTTGCTTCCTAATACAAAACGGAAAGCCAATTATCTTGGAAAAAGGAACATGCTTCTAAGGTCTTCAATGTGAATTGAAAAACTGTCACGCGCTCGGATCGCGATCTCTTGGGACTTGAGGCTAGACTTAAAGCGCGGCCACACGGAATAAGCCAAGAATCATCGTTAATTTGCTTTTTAACTCTTTTTCTTGTCATATTCCTGAAATTAGTACCGATTGTCAAATATAAGTAGAATCCATCCAATTATGTAATATTTGGCAAATATTGAGGGAAAATATTCACAAATTAAATAGCAATTATGCATCCTATCAATAGTTTTAACAATGGTAGTTACCTTATTATGCATCCTATCAATATTTGGCAAATAACAATGGTAAATTTATGTTGCTATACAAGTTGCCTATGTTAGACTTCTAAGAATATAGTGTAAATCTACTTCTTACTAAATCAAAACAAATTGTGTATGTAGTTTCATTAAGACGTATGGGACAAATTGTCGTATACTATGTCAGTATTATAGACTTTGTTGAAAATATTCACAAACTAATCTAGTTGATTTCTCAGAACTATGTATTTCTTTTCTCATCTTTTATCATATTTTCTCAGTCATTCTTACAAAGAAAATGTTACGATATATTGTTCATTTACAACCAATATGCATGTGTTAGACACAATTTGAATACGAATCTAAAGTGGCATCACCTATCATATGGTCATCTGCGACATGAAATTTCTTCAGAATTTTTGGTTGAGCTTGTGTTACTCTCCTAGCAACTCTGCTAAACCCGTAGACTTGAAAAGAGCATTTATCTCATCTCATGCTTCCCGAGTAAATTTTTAGATTGTAGATATATATCCTGCGATTGTTCCTTCCAGAATTTTTTTTTTTGGAGAAATGTTCCTTCCAGAATTGAAATGAGCATCATAATAACTCTAGTTGTGACAGCATATAACCTGCGAAGTCTTTTACCAAAGTATCATATGAAAAGTAATTGCTTTCACACATGCAATACATGAGAACAGGATGATGTCAATTGTCCAACTAGGGAATGGGTGGCTGCGGCTGAGTTGTGTGCGGTTGTTTACTATTCTTGTAGTTCTCAAAAAATTTTGTTTTTGTATATCAAATGAAAAAGTATTACATATAATGTAACATGCATCCAATCTTGTGACTAACATAATAATGGAATCATCAGGTTCGTCCCAACGAGTAGGGAGGGGAGCTTTGGGAGTTTTTCATGCTATCAAGTTTAAGTTTTCATATGAGTTTTAGTCCTAAAAATTAAGAATCGAAAAAGTATGAAAAGGATTCGAATTTTGAGTTTGGTAGTAAGAATTGAGAGACTGTGGGAGGGATAAAATGATATATACAGAAGAAAATAAAATAATCACGTGACATTTGCACCGAACCATAACACGTCCTATCCGTTGATGCAATTAACATATAATTGGTGTAAGCAATTGAATACTTTTCCATTAGTTGCTGAAGTTAAGTAAAACATTGGTAGATGTACAAAGTGAAATGTATTCACAAAAATTAGGGCAGAGCTAATACAAGTTAGTTCAATTGGTAAAAACAGTGTATTAGCTGATATACAACAGTCATTATAAAAACAGTTTGTATTAGCTGTGCTTATAGATGATATATAAGAATCGCTATAAGCGACTTATGATTTACAGAGCATTTCTTGACCTATTGCATACACTTAAATTTTTCTTCTTACCCAAAAAAAAAAGAAGGGCAGGTAAAGTATACTGTCCCTACTTGGCACATAACATGTATGGTAATGTATAAAACCAAGAATGGAGGGGCTAAATCTACTCCCCATGTATTCATTGGACAACGTAGCTTCATCTATTAAATTTATTTGATTCCTCTTATATACAGTTCCAAATAACTTATATTGACAAAGCAACAAAAAAATGCAAAAAAATGTTTCCATTTAGAAGAGAATATTTTCAAACATTTTACAAGTACTTAAGAATGTTAATTTTTAATTTAAAGTTTAATTTGGCAATTGATTTTTAATTTAAAGTTTAATTTGGCAATTGAGATTTTCAATTACAAATGAGCACGTAAATAGCAATGTCTCTGCATTTCAAGTCTCTAAAATTAAAATCTCAATAGTTTCAAGATGGAACATACAATCATAATAACCTTTTCATATAAATATCTATCATTTGATTCCAGCAATTCCGATGTATGCCTGAGAAGCCAAAGCATAGCTACTACACGTTGGAAAAGACAATTTTACAACGTTAAAATCTTGACTTTGACAACACAAACTTCTTGTTGAACAAGACTCTTTTTTTTTTTTCTTAAGGATTAAATAAGACAGTTTGGAATTTTATCACGCATGTGGGCTTTAGATTGGCAGGTTGGCATTGTCTAGAAAGAATATTTCGATACTTCTTAAAAGTTTGGGCTGTTATAAGATTCTAGAATGGTTTAGTAAAAGTAGACTTTCTATCTCAATTTTTCAGAAAATGGAATTTTCTAACTGATTCACTGCTGTTAAGGCACCTAAATGAAATCGCATTTGAATTGCCAGATAAATACAAACATTCACATCTATTTAGAGGTGGCAATTTGTCCCAAGTCCCAATGGGTTACCCATGCCCATGGGGACTTTGGGCGGGTTGGGTATTGGAATTTGATATTGGGTTTAAAATGGGACAAATTCCAATTATATCCATTAATTGATGGGAAATTTTGGAAAATACTTGGGTACCCATTGGGCTCAAATAGCAAGGGTTCCGTTTGGATTAGCTGTTTTTGGGGATGTTTTTGAAATATTTTATTGTAACAGTGTCTATGAAAAAATTTTACTATAATTTTTTTAAAATATTTGATATACTAATGTGGATGGGATGTTTTTTGAGTTATTGTATATTACTGTAACATTGTATTTGAAAATTTTATTTTTTGAAAAAATAGCAAATCCAAACAGAGTCTTAGATTCAAAAATTATCTTTAACAATTTTTATAGTCATACTAGCGAATATAATCTAGCAGTCTTCCTAATTATTATCCACAAGAATTTCCAATATTTCAGTCAGTTTAGACCTGTCATTCTTGGACAATGATGAGAATAAATATTCAACACCCTAAGTGCCTTGGCCATCTTAATATATGTTGGAATATGGCTGTATATCTATCTTTTCCTTTATTTGTTAATCCAAATTTTGGTGGGAATCCTGAATATAAAGCACTTGTATGTTTATTTAATAAAACTAAAAGAAATTTAATAAATAAAAAATATTAAAGTTATATAAAAAATAAAAAATGAATTAAAGGAAAAAAATATGTAGAAAATAGATTTGGGTATTGGGCGGGATCAATCTAAACCCATCCCAAAGTGATCCCGCCCAAGTTAGTCCCAAAACACATATGGGTAAGGTTGGGCCTAAACCCATATGATTCGGTTCCATCTCAAATCCAAGCAAATCTCGCGCATCCCGCCCATTTTGCCACCTCTACATCTATTATACCCTTGAATTGAAACAATTTTTTCAAATTAACCACTCTATATATTCTAACAAATTAATACTTAAATCCCCTCCCATCGAGTGCTTAATGGATACCCATGAACAAAACAATTGGCCCGTCATGAGACTAATTTGATTAAGATATATAGCAATATCGCAAACCCTGTAATTAATCTACAAAATTACTCGTATTGTTGTACACTCTTTAATTATTAATTATATTTTATTAGCTACTTTTAGCGTTATTTAATCTCTTACCCTTGAATTAAGGCATATCCACCCCTATGTTATAGCTAGACACACATACACATACTGCTATAAATTAAGAATTTCATAGACAGTAATAATTTGGATCTGTCATCCGTGTAACAATTAAAGCAAACAATTAATTCACTATAAGAAAGTTGAAGAACGAAATTATTGCTCACTTTCTTTCTTTTTTATTTTTTGGTGAAATAATTAATTTTTGTAGGCCTCTAGACAACTTTGTATGTACAAGTTCAAGAACTTCACGAGATGATAAGGCAGATAAATGGATCAACTTTTTAAAGAGAAATGTAACATCCCGAATATTAGGAGGTTGTTTGTGAAGAAAATATTAAAGTGTATTTCTTTGGGTTGATTTAAAACCTTATTTTGGTTTAAAAGACTAGAAACCCTAATATTGTAGCCAAAAACCCTAGTTTACTTGTGACTAACCGGTTTTCCTAAATGTCTCATATTTTAATTGAAACCCTAATTTTAATTACTGGAATTGGAAAATTCCTCACGTTTTCTTAAAAATTTCTTTTTATTTGAAGATTATCATTTATTAAAGCCCTACTATCCAATTATTCCATGATAAGTGTAATTAAACCTAGAAAATAAGGTTTTACGCTTTGGTTTCAAGTTTGGAGTAAAATTAGGGTTTTCGCGATTTTTCGCCGGATGAATTTTCGGTACAGAGTAAGGATTAAATTTGGAGATTAAAAGTGACTTTTAAGTGAAAAATAATATGTGAGTAGTAGCAGTAATATAAGGTTAGTGAATGGGAAGTAAAAACCCTAGTACGTGAGTTTTTAAGAAAAACGGCGCGAACCGGCGGGTCCCGCGCACTACCGTTTGAACGCACCACTGGACCACCACTTTCTTGCACCACAAGCTTATTGATATTTGAGCCAAAATATCTTCTTATATTACAGCTAAGGGGACCGAAATTTGTGGCTTATAAGTAAGGGGAAGAAAGAGAAAAATTAGTGGCTAAGAATTGTCCAAGTGTTAGCCAAATTGTGGTCTTAATTAACTCTAACCTTCTTACTCCTTATAAGACAAAAATCAGCTTCATTTCTCTTCATTTTCTGCTGCCAAGAGCCGAGAGAGAGAGAGAGTAAGAATAAGAGAGGAAAAACAAAACTCTTCTCCATTTCTTCTTCAATCCACCAACAAAGTGAGAAATCAAACAAAAGAAACCGATTAATCTTGTCTTTGAGTGGTTAGTTAGTGTTTGGTGGTTAAAGTTTGGAAAAGGAAAGCTTGGGGCTGCTTTTAGAGACTTCTAACCAAGGTAAGAGAACTCATCTCTCTAAGTTTTGCTTTTGATTTTGTTAAATTAAGTTAGTAGTTTGATTATAGTGGTGGAATCATGGATGATTAGCATGATTTAGAGGTTTTCCCCAATTTATTTGATGAACTAGGGGTTCTGATTTTCTGCTCAATGTGATGTATGATGTGTAAATGTTGCAATTAAGGTTATATAAGGTTGTTTAGTGGTGATTAGAACCAGAAATTTGACGAAATTACACTTAGAGCTAAACATTCCAGATTTCTGGAAAATTTCCCAAGCATTCTGTCCGAAATTGTATCTATATGTTAGAGGCCGATTTGGCCTTTGATCAAATAAGGAAAGTTGTAGAGAATGGCATTTTATAGGTGCCTGTAAAATTTCAGCTCAATCGGAGCAACGGAGGTCGTGAAAAGTCCAAAATACCCCTACTGTTTTAAGAATTTCCCAGCAGTCCGTTTCTTCAGTTCAGTCCAGTTTATCACGATTTTTGACCAGGATCCATTCTGATTTAGCTCTGGGCCGAAACTTGAAAGTTGTAGTGTTCTGAAGTAGCTTTAAAATACCTCAAAGAACACCTGATTCGGACTTGTGTACACTGAGTTATGACCATTACAGTGTTCTGCGTTTAAGCTGCCGGTGAATTGGTTTCTGGTTTAGTAATTGGCGAATTTGACCAAGTTACATTAGAAACTGGACTTAGTGATATTCATGAACATTGTAGCCCTGAGTCTTAGCTTCGAAACGGCATAGGTTTCGCCTTAATCCGATTAGCGTAACTTCGGATAAGTTATTTCCGCTTTTATACGTCAAATCTGTCTTTCGGCTATATGGAATTTCTGTTCTTGCTATTGATGCGAATCTTATTATTATGATATTGTGAGCCTATGGAACGGCTCTTGACCTGAATTGCTTATATGTATGATGTTGGGTTGTGTTTGAGAAAAACAATGAAGCCTAAATGGCTGGAAATTAGGTAAACACAAAGGGCATGCTGCCCAAATTTACGCTCGAGGACTATATAAATACACTTGCGACTTGGGTCGAGTTGATATGAATAGTACTTGAACCATCTAGGGTACTTGAGTCTTCTTGTTCGAGGTATATAAGTAAGGACTTGGCCGAACTTGTACCCTTGAGAAATGAAATAATGATTGCTCAAAATACGTTTTCCCTTGTACTTTCGACTCGCATGACCATTTCAAGTATAAATGTTACAAAGTTTTATCATTTAAAAAGTGAGCGAGTATCTCACGAGTATTCTCCAAGTGAATTTCAATTTCTTGATTCTTATTGAACGAAACGTCTAAGTTTCGAACTCTAGTCATGTTTCAAAGTTCTCAAATTGAGTTTTATCGCAGATTTGGACTCCGAACTCGGAGTATAACCTGAAAGTGACCAGTAGCACTATATCTTTTGGGTGAGTGCTTTCAAATACCGAATTGAACTTGATACTTGAACTTGATACGTGACCAATCTGATTACATGTTATATACGTGAATTGTAAAGGCAAGAGTGTACTTTATCGCACTTGCCCTTACGTGATATACTTGTTTATTGTTGCAATTGACTTGATATACTTGTTTATGATGCGCGCACTTCCTGGAATTCCAGAAACCCTGTGGCGAGTTACTCTAGTCGAGCCGGCAAGGGCTTGGTCGATTGGGTAACGAACCCTGGGTCTTTTGTATTGTTGAGTGGAGTGATATCTCCTCGACTAATCGGTATACTCGAGTATTACCACCCGTGTTTATTGAGGATTTTGGGCCCAGTAGGGGGTGTGAATGGTGGACGGAGAGTCGTGTAAGTGGTGTTCTACTGGATTAGTTACTCACTTGAAAGTTGACGGAGTGTCAACTACTACGTGATCAAGCTTCTGGTAATGCAAAGGGGAATTTGGCTCCTGAGAGCCATCCGTATCCTTATGCTTTGGAATACTTATTGTTTATTGGATTATTGTTTCTTTTGAAAAATCTTCTACATTTGCTCATTTTAAGATTGCTACTTGACGTGTTACTGTTCACATTTATGAACACTTTATGAACTTTATGCTCGTTACTTTGCTATATCGAAAACTCGTACTTATAAATAATGGTCAATTTGCTATTTGGAACCTCACTGGGCTTTTAGCTCATTCCACTCCATTTGTTTTCCTTTCAGGGGTACGAGCGAGGCGTGAGATATGTAAAGTCTAGCATAGACTAGCTATTTGATTTTGACTTGTACTCACGCTATTCCTCGGATGAAACATGTTGTACTTGGATTGTATACGTTCTGAACTAGTTTGGTGTATTGAGACTTTGTACTTCGATTTCTATTAATGTAAATTATAAGCTTGAATTGGGAATGTTATTTATGGTTCATGGATGTGTGTACGTGACTCGATTGAGATAGTGAGTGAGTCCTGGCGAGAGCTGGGCAGGCGGTCTGCCGAACCCTTTGGTACGCCTTAGGGAAAGGTGGGGTCGTCACAGAGAAAACTACCACAAACTTACACTCTAATAAGAGAAGGGAAAAAAAAAACTTCATAAATGTTTGAAACTTTGTTTAGGTAAGGGCTAAGGCTAGCCAACTAGGGAGAGTATATATCACGAGCAATCAGCCCTGATCACCGCTGCGTTATATTGGCATTAATTTGGCTGAATGTCTTGAGACATGCTCGCGAAATACAGCTAGAAAGGTACTTGGAGACCATTTCTCTCACGGGGAAGTGCCAATTTCATCTCATGATGAAGGAAAAAAGATTACATGATGAAAGGCAACAGATTTCACTATAAAGTATAGCTTCCCAAACCCATCATATATTCATCCCAAGCTGCTTCCCAAACCCATCATCACAAGATCGATGGATTTTGTTGGTTTTCTTTTGTGGGTTCTAACTTCTTTCTTGTTACTTACGGCAAAAGCTTGCTCACAACCACAGGAACAGCAGCCACAAGTGCCTTGTTTCTTCATATTTGGAGATTCATTAGTTGATAATGGGAACAATAATGGCCTCCTCACGCTGGCCAGGGCTAATTATATGCCTTATGGACTTGATTTTCCTCAGGGTGCCTCTGGTCGCTTCACTAATGGTCGTACATTTGTTGATATTTTGGGTGCGTACGTTTTTATACTTTTGCATGTTTGCAAAAGAAGCTTCAAGACATAATACTATTGTTTGATACTATAAATCTGCAATTTGTATGTTTATCAATACTATTGGTATAGTTCGTTAATGAATCAGACATAGGTGCTGATTTGAATTTGGAATGGTGTGGATTTAGTCCCTCTGTTGATATTACTAGATTACATTCATTTGTTTAGTAGGGATAGTAATTTGGCAAGGAATAAATACTAAAGGAAAAGGAGGATCGCGAAAAACAAGCCTGTCTTCTGAGACGAGAAACAAAGTCCCATAATGTGTTTGATTTTTTGAAAATGTAGTTAGATTAAAGTGAAGTTAAATACTTTGACAATGAAAATTAATGAAATAGTTTCATTTTGCAGCTCAACTTCTTGGCTTTCCCAACTATATCCCAGCCTATGCCAGGGTCCGTGGCAGGGCATTACTGCAGGGAGCAAACTATGCATCAGGAGCATCAGGCATCCGAGACGAGACAGGAAATAATTTGGTAATCCAGCTGTTGTTTTCGCATTGTAACAAGATGAAGTGTACATCAACTGGATAAAAATCGCAATATTGAATTGTTCCTAAAACGCTGCAAAAAAAAAAAAAAATGATACTGCATTATTGAGATTTTGTAGCGTACTTAAATTCTTTCAAAATGTACTTAGATAGATAGACTAGTTTTACGTACAATACGTGAAAGTTAAATGTTTGGTTTTCGATGTGGTTGATGGATAGAGTAACTAGCCTGGTGAATTACCTTCTTGACTGCAGGGGGATCACACATCAATGAATCAACAAGTAGCCAAATTTGCTACAACTGTAGAACAGTTGAGGAGGTACTTCAGGGGAGATAGCATGGCACTGGGAAATTACCTGAGCAAGTGCCTATTCTACTCAGGATTGGGAAGCAATGACTACCTTAACAATTATTTTATGACAGATTTTTATTCAACCAGAACAGCTTACACCCCAATAACTTATGCCGCTTCACTTCTTCAGGATTATACCAGGCAATTAACTGTGAGTAACTTCCACGGATAGTATACAATTAGCTTGGAAAAAAGATTATGGTAGTAAAAGACAAACCCAAGTTACAAATTTTTTCATGATTTCAGAAATATATCAAGATTTAATGAATGATAGAAATAAAAGTTCTGTTTCTATGGTAAAATCTTAATGACACAGGCAGTCTAAATTTATGTTACATGTTATAGTCTAAAAATACTTGTCAACATGTGTTACAAAATTTTAGACATTCTCCTTTAAATATGTAAAATTTCCATTGTTGCTTAGTAGGGAGTGTAGTGACATATAATCTAGAAACTCTGAAACTTGAATTGTGGAAATTATACTAATAACCCATAAATGACTAAAAATTAGACATGTTTGAACTCTAGATACCATCCAATTTTGTTAGATAGGATTCGTCTTTACGTTCATTCATATCCGGAATAAATTGAGACTGTCTATCAGTATTCTAATTGGAAATATACGATGTATCTCAGGTCATGCTAGACAGAAACAAAAGTGTAGGCAGTACATTTTAGCGTTCTTGATTGAAATTAGGCAGTTTGAGCCAAAATTAATCTCAGACATTAAAATAATTCCTTGTCAAATATTCGTGTTTATGTGTTTTGCACATCATCAATTTCAAAGGGATTGTACAATTTGGGAGCTCGTAAGGTGATTGTATCAGCAGTCGGACAAATAGGCTGCATACCATATGAGCTAGCACGGTACGATGGCAATGGTAGCAGATGTAATGAAGAGATCAACAATGCCATCATCCTCTTTAACACTGGACTGCGAAAATTGGTTGATCGTTTCAACAACGGTGAACTTCAGGGAGCAAAATTTGTCTACTTGGATTCATTTCAGAGCAGCCAAGATCTGGTACTCAATGCCAAAACATACGGTAATAATGCCCTCTAATTCGACAGGCTAACTTTGAAAGTTTAGTGAATGGACAATTTGTGAAGCCAATTTGAGTTCAAAAGTTGGATAAATTACAAAACGCGCACTTTTGAAACTCAGATAAGCTTATTTATAACTATGAAGTTCATGGTTTTTTGATTAGAAAAATATGTTGCTTGCCATGTGCTAATTACAATTTATGCAAATTACAATTACAAACTAAAATTAGAACAGAAATAAAGGCAAACATTGACATAATTTATAAAGGGACAAATGTTGAATGCACATGGATTAGAATTTCATTTTCTTGGAGAAAATTTTATCGTCCTGTCTCTTTGCAATAATTGACCAAATCATGTATTCCTTGCATGATGATGGTGAACAGGGTTTGAAGTTGTTGACAAAGGGTGCTGTGGAGTTGGAAAGAACAATGGCCAAATAACATGTCTCCCTCTTCAGCTGCCATGTGATGACCGAAGAAAGTACTTGTTCTGGGATGCCTTCCATCCAACTGAAGTTGCAAACATATTGCTTGCTAAGAAAGCATACAGTTCCAAGTCTAAATCATATGCTTACCCAATCAATATACAACAATTAACAATGCTTTAGGACTTTGCAGAATTTGCTGTATTTAATTGGAAAACAAGATGTATTCTTCATAAACTGCTTGGCTATGTTAAATTGCAATCCTTTGAGTCTTTTTTTTTTTTTTTTCCCGTCTCAATCTCTGAAGTGGAGGGGTGGGAGTGCAGAAGCCAATAGGAGAGGATAATGAAATACTGGATATAAAGCCTCATTCTCATATGAGGAATAAAGACTCCCAAGAAAATAAGTTGACTAGTGACGGGTTTTTTTTATTTAATAAATAACAGCAACATTTGTTTATTTAGGGTGCTTCTTTTCCATCGACACGTTGCATACCTAGACTGGCACAAAGAAATGAAATAAAGATAAGGGATAATTTCAGAAAACTCCCTTGAGGTTTCCACCAATTTCACCCATTACCCCTCAAGGTACGATAGCGGATTGTCTTTCTCGATGATGGCCTTTGCCTCTTCTCCTTTCATCCCAAGCACCTTGGGCCACACAGTCTTGTATTCTGCATTAAGAGAAAAAAAAAAAGAAAAAAAAAACAATGGAACTAAGTTCATTATATTTTCACACACACACACGCATATGTTCCTAAGTATGTACAGTAAGAATACAAAGACAAACGAAGAAAGCTAAACAAATTAAGAGTAAACGTACTTAGGTAGACTCAATTCACTATAGACCATGAGTAAAATACTTGTATGACTTCGTATATGGAGAGAGCTCTTGGATAAGGATTGCACAGACAATGAACTGACATTTTTCTTCCAAATTGATATTCTTCTCAAATCAATAATGTGTTCAATGAACCAAATCACTAGTATATATATTTCTCCTTCAAGTGTGAACGCTATCCTTGATTAAAAGAAATTGAATGAATCTTGGCGAGTAATGTTCTGTGTGAACCGGCGGCTGGTAGACTTTTTCATATCATACTGTGATTTAATGGATATTCCAAATGATCTAGGTGGACTACTTTTCAAAATTTGTTTCTTTCTTAAAAGAATTTTGCCCTTTATGTACCTGTTTAAAGTGCGAAATACCAACGGATACTTTGTTATGGTCTTCGACGGATTTCTTTTTTATTGATATTCTATGGAATCTATTAGATTATAATTAAGTTTTGGGTTTGTCTAATAGGTGTGCATTAGACACCAGTATAAGAGAATTCCTAAGTATTAGTTAGAAAAAGTTGAAGTTTAAACAATAAATAATTAACTAGATAAACCTTCAAAAGAAAGTCTAAATGAACGTTAAAAAGAAAATAAATTGTCTAAATGCAAAAAGAAACGATGTATATGAGTGTGTATATTTTAATAAATAGTAGTAAAATAAGACTGTAATAGCCCAATTCCATTAGGCACTACTAAAACACCACTTCACGAAGAAGAAAAAAACTAATAAACAACGGATTTTTTTTTTTTTTTAATGAAATCTACATTTATTCAATTACTCGTGAACGCAACTTCAAGGTTTCCATGAACCCAAGACTTTTGACACTTGATTTCCTTTTATTTTTTGTTCTAAGGCCAATTCAACTTTTGCCCTGCTACTTTTCCAACATTATTCAGTTGTATCCATAGAAGTGATGGGAAATGCGAACATTCAGTTTTGGTGCTACACTCTATTATTGATTGTTTCAAAGGCTCCATGACTTGCAATAAAGTTCCAGTAGCGAGGAATAATGTGTAGTATATATGTTCTCAACCGACTCTTACGATCGATCTTTCATTTCTCAAATCCATTTTGATTAGCACATCAATCACTTCTGATCTTAGAAGATCTTATTACAAAGAGTTTCTCAACGCTCCTTAATGACTTCCTTATTGCTATTTCGCTTTAATCTTTTTCCTTATTGCTTTCTCATGAACATGATGGGATTGACTGCTGCTGCTGGCAGAAGAATTAGTAGCATATATAGTTCACTTGCATTCCGATACATGACCACAAAATTCTAAAATAGCTACCTTTCACCTTATCTTGTTACACTGATCAGTGGTAGAATTATCTTTGGCTGGAGAATGTATACCATCTGACCTGTTTTATTTTATTTCATTTTTAATGTAATTTAACTTCTGTTGACAGAATTGAAGACTAGGCATTAGAGCACACTAACTAGAAAGAAAAGTGTTTACATCATCATGCATTGCCAAAATTCCTTACAATTTCTAATCTCAAAAAGATCAAATACCCTTAAAACCATGAAAAAAGTGTAGCAAACAGCAGCAGTAAATCACAAAGTATATATTAGAATTGCAGAGGTCGTCAATCAAAGACGTCAAAGACGAGCAAGCTGCTCTATGTTTATGGGGTAAACAAGTTGAGGACCTCCACTGAAAGCACTCTTTCCAAACAAAATGTTTACTGCTGCTGTTGGGTGAAATGCATCCCAAAATATGTAGCGATCCCTCTCTGGACATGGCACCTGGAATGGAAGACAAGTTATCTGCCCTCTATTACGTCCAATTCCACAGCACCCTCGATTTACTATGTCAAATCCTGTAAAACCAAAAAAAAAATAAATAAATCAAGAAACACATAAAATGGATAAGTAAACGGTAAATTCTACAAATATATACATTTCTTGATTGTTTGAATTGCTTCAATTCTATAATTCTGCGTGGTGTCTAGTAGTACCATAAGAGTCATGGTTGGTAAGGAGATCTTGGAACATGTTGCGAATATCGATGTAAGCAAATCTGGATCCTGGGAGATTGGTGCTGAGTTTGTTGATCATAGCCTTGCTGTTGGTACTGAAGGGAACTACCAACTGGTTCACCGGCTCTGAGCATAGACCAGCTCCACTTTGAGCTAGGATGCTTGGTATACATCCCATTAGTCCAAGCCCAGCAATTACAAATTTCCTGGCTCCCAGATTATACAGCCTCTGCAGTAAGAAACAGTGCACAAAAAAAGTTAATTTTCTAATCAAGATTAATTAAAAAAAAAAAAATCAAATCTAGTACTATCTTACAGTGAGTTGTTGAGTGTACTGGGATGTCAAAAGATCAGCAAATTGTTGAGCATTATACTGGTTTTTGGTGTTGTAATTTGGCATGAGATAATTGTTGAGATAGTCATTGCTTCCCATTCCCACAAAGAATATGCATCGAGAAAGTGCCTGTGCTACATCTGGGGCACCAAGGCTGTTTGTGATTTGATCAAGCGTATTCTCAAAGTTCCGGATTTGTTGATTGAATGGAATGCGGCCAACCTGAAAATTGGACGTGGTTAATTTTCCAATTTATAGGAAATGTTGTTTTACAATCCCATTTTCCCATCTATAATCACTCAACCAATATAGTATTATCCTTGGAGAGAAAATTCAGCATGCACTTACAAAGTTTCGGCCTGTTTCATCAAGGATGCCAGCTGCTGCGGAGGCGTAGTTGACCCCATAACGCACTTGATCACCGGAAGCCTCTGAGAAGGGCGGAATAAGAGGTAGTCCTAGCAATTCAGCTGCAAAAAAGTACATGTTCAAAACTCAAAACAATTATACCCGGACTCTTCTCCTAGTAACATGCAATTTTAGGATGAAATTTGCCGTGAAATTCAGAGGGTTTAATTTCAAATGGACGCCCACATCTATCAATGACCTGTTTAATTTTCTGTCATGAGCAAGGACCTAAGTAGAACTAGCACCTTTATCGCCTATTGGCAATGGAGTTTAAGGAAGGCGGGATTTTGATCTGGCGTTGAAGCACACGCCTTTAGGGGCAGAAGGCAGGGGATGGGCCAGTCAGAAGCCAAGTAATAAATCAAAGAGGCCTTAAAAGGGTGTTTGGCATGTAGGTTTACAAAATAAAGCTTTTAAACTGGGGTGGTTTGAAAAAAAAAAACTGGGGTGGTTGGTAATATAAGGCATATACGTAATTTCTTGTTAGATAACTTCATGTTCCACGCTCTCAACCGTACTTAATTTGAGTTATATCAAGTATTCCACGCCTTCAAGCGGCTAGATATACAAAACCTGAGTAAAAGAGTGGTGCAACATTTATAGGTTTACCTAACCCGTCAACTGCTTTTTTCCTTACAGCACAAAAGACACTATGGTCATTCATTTACCATTACTAGTCTGTCATACATGCACGTACATGCACTATTATGCTTGTAGGTTTAGGCATCAAGTCCTACGTACTAGTTCATAGAAGTTAACTCTCAAATTATCAGCAATAGCTTTTGTCATTTTTTTTCACTTTTTAGGTGAATCTGCTGGTGAATAAACATTTATGTATGCTATGCAAATAAACAATAAAAAAATGCAGATTGAAGATTAAGAAAGCAAGACAAAACTTAGATTTAATTAAATATGAGAATCCCAAAAAAAAAAAATTTAAAAATCCGTACCTATTTCATCAACCATGGTGTAACCATTAGAGAAGCGTCCAGTTGGACCACCATTGAAATCAATGCCATAAGGAAAATAGTTGGCTTTTGCAAAAGAAGGGAGGTTGTTGTTATTCCCATTATCAATCAGAGAATCTCCAAAAATGAACATGGCAGGCACAAGTGCTCTCCTGGCTTCACTAACTCCTGGAATTGAGCCATCATCATTTTGTCCATGTCCTGGAATTGCAATATTGCTCAACACCAACCAAGAAACAAAAATCCAGGAAAACATCAGCTCAGCCATAGTATTTTGAGTGTGTGTCTGTGTGTGAAAAGTGACAAAGATTCTTTAAGAGCTGAGGTGAACAGAGGCGAGGAAGTGATGGATGAAATGATGATGATAATGAACTAGTAGTGGACTGAGTAGTTTCCCATCTCTATGAGAATTGAAGGGGTTCATGAAGGTGGCGGAAGGATTTAATAGAGGGAAGAAGTGTGGTAGTTTAGGGGTAGTAAATGGATTCACCTGTATGTTGTCTGTTGGAGTAAATATAGTAATTATTGATGTCAGTGTTGTGAAAACTTTTCTTTAGCAAATTTAGATCTTAGACAAATTGTTTTTATCCTACAAACAATTTTGTACAAACAATTTTGTACGTATTCTATGTCCTTTTGGGTAATTTTCGTATGCCTTTTAGCCTTTGATGAGCTCCTAAGCCTCGAGGAGTACTTCTCTCTAATATCCAAAAATCCAGGATTGAAATATTGAGTATTT